AGAGGGAGAGAGAGAGAGAGAGAGAATCAGACGCGTAATAAGCTCAAACTGGCAGTGCCATTGGTGTGAATGCACCTGGAGGATGGCATCTGCTCCCCGGGCGCCCTACAATGGCAGCCCACTGGTCCCCAAGGGGATGGGTTAAATGCAGAGGTATATTTCTCTAATGTGAGATCAATAGAAGTTCGTCCGATGCGTTGAATTGATTATCGTTGCGCTATAGTGGCCTGGATCCATTCAGTTACAGTTGCTACTTGCAGACTGTTCCCTTTGCATTTGTTTGGGTGTTATTTGTGTGGTATTATATTGTTAGTGTCTGTAAGTGATTATCATCCAAAAATTAGTCACAGAGAGGAGAGCAGGGATCTGTTTGACGCGCTGAATCCAAGGACGACACGTAAAGCTTTACTGCAGTACGGGATGTTTATTGAACACTTTTTCTGTGAAGCATATATAGACTTGCAGGCTTAATTAGCTTGCAGTCAACAGAAATATTGGCACCCTGCCTTAGCCTATCTCTATGTATCAAACAAACGAACAGCCCCTGAGCAGATCCAGGTGATATTCATTAGACAATCATTCAGCTCCAGACACTTGCCAACACCCACTTACAGCTCCACCCACACATGCCCATACATACCTCTAACACATGCACCCTACACTTAGAGACAAGACAAAAAATGCATCCTTGACTCCACATTGTCTTTTCTGTGTTTTAAGCTGCACGTTTGCTATTCTGATTTCTGTGATAAAAGCATTTGTCTTGGCAACATTTTTTTTCTTGAATGTGTTTTATTTGCGAACCTCACTTTCATCTTTTCACTAGTGTCTGTATTTGCAGCACATTTCCATCATTCTGCCACTATACTGTGTTCCTGACATCACACAGTGTTGCGATGTGCTCAGATTAAGAGGACCAAATTTCTGAAATCACAACTGGGGACATCGCCGGCACTTAGATAAAAATAAATACATCTCATCTAGATAAAATTTAGTACCCAGGGACAGCAATGGTTTCATTCATTTTTACATATTTATTAATATTCAAACAACTAAAATCAGGTGTAAAAATCAATAATGCCTCTCGGCACTGTTATTATTTCCTAAGATTAATTAACAGCAAACTAGAACTTTGTCTCTGGGTTGGGGGGAAGAGGAGGAGGTGGGAGCGGAGGGGGGTGAAGGGCAACAAATATGCATTCTGTCAGTGTATTCTCATTATCAGTTCGTAAGAAATCGTACGAAAAGTTATGCACATTATTTCATAAGTTTTTGACGTTTTTTTCGTCATATTTCGTCGTATTTTTACGTCTTGCCTCGAGACAAGATATCCTTGCGCATGCGCATCTTACGCATCTTACACATCATTCAATAACATACAATTAACCCTAACCCACAATAGAGGCCTGAGAGAGTTTTGGGCCGGGGGGGGGCAATAAACTGCCTTTTTTGAAAATTTTTTGGGGGCTAACTAAAGGTCACAGGGTCACGGGCCCGGGGCCCCATTAAAGGGCCAACCCTCGTGACCCTTATGCCCGGGTTACCCGATTTTTAACGGCCACCCTGAGCCCGTGGCGGACCCCCAAACAGGGCAAAGTTTCATAAAAAAAATGAGTTTTAGGGCAGCTTAGGGTATAGATGCACCGATTGCCCAGCAGAGGGAGCCCGGACACTCTGTATAACTCAGTATGGGACAATTTGCAGGGGACAACCTGCAATATTTTATATTAGACATTAATATGGATCTAACCATGGGACAGTCTGGTAGTTCTTTTCATTGAGCTAATCCGGCACACCGAGACATTGGACATGTCCTAGGATCGGTAAACGTTGGACAAGATGAGGCATTTTGCGAGGGACAAAAGACGGGATTCAAGTTCGGGACATGTCTTGGGATCAAACAACGTGACAACCCGGAGCATTTTGAATGGGCCAGCACTCGGCATTAAACCATTTTTGGATTTTTTTCCCATGGAGCGCCCTGGTCCGTTGCCCCCTGTAAAGTGGCACTCAAACGCTCTAAAAACCCAATAGTGACCCCATATGTCCAACTTGGGAGCCCTTTGGCCCACCTCACCCCCGTAAAAGCACTTAATACACCCATCTGGCCCTCTTTGGTCCCCTTTGGCCCACCTGAAAAGTGTCCGCCTCCGATGCTGCGGTTCGGAGGTTCAAACCCCGGAGCAAACATGTATTTTCACCGAGTGGGCCAGCATTAAACCATTTTTGGATTTTTTCTAAGTTTTACCAACTTACCTGGTTCACAGCGACCCAACAGCGACAACGAATGGACATCTGGCCAGATTGAAGCACTGGGACAACCGTCAGCATGTTAAAGCGGAGATTTTGAAACATTGAACCATTTTTGGATTTTTTCTAAGTTTTACCACCTTACCAGGGGCAAAGCCACCCAGTGCAGCCCCTCACTCCAGGGACAGGTGTCGACATCAGGGGACAAGAGTCGGCACAGACTGTCCTCCAGATCCAGGGGGGCCCGGTTCCCCACAGAATAGCCTCCAGAACCAGGGGACCAAATGGAGATCCTCTCCCCAGAGACAGAGCACCACGGGCCTGCCTGCATGCAGACGGGCTGAGCACACCCTCTGACCTCCAGAGAGCCACGTGCAGGGCCCCTGCATTTTTAAAATGATTATTCAGGGGACAGATGTGAGCATTAAATGGACAGTAGGCGGCACAGCCGTTGACCTTTGACCTCCAGAGAACGTCACACAGGGCCCGTGGGCTCAGATCGGTGAACTGGAGCATTTTAAATAGGAAAATATACAATATTTATAGGACAGAACTCAGCCTCACATGGAGATCCTCTCCCCAGAGACAGAGCACCACAGGCCTGCCTGCATGCAGACGGGCTGAGCACACCCTCTGACCTCCAGAGAATATAAGCTCAGCTGGCCTCCAACTTTGTAAAACCACACCCCGTAGTGAAACCCACACATGCGTTTCCCAATCCTCTGAGATAACCAGCTTTCAACTTCAACTTTTAAATAGGAAAGATTAAAGGGGAACGTAGGTGGGCATTTAAAATTCAACATTAGACTGCATTTACACACTGGGATCCACACACTGCGCCTCCAGAACCAGCGGAGCAAGTGGAGCTCCTCTCCCCAGAGATGGAGCACTCTGGGCCCGCATCAACTTCCATGGAGCAGCCCCAGGTTCTCCAGAACCCACATCATGTCCCACTTACCACCCGTTTTTGCCCACCTCAGCCCACACTGGCAAGCTCTAAAAACCCAATAGTGAAAGCCCTTTGGGAAACTCCTCCAACTCCCATTGTCATTGTGACACAGCGCACACAAGTGAACACTGCACACCATGAAATTGCATTTATGCCTCACCCGTGCAAGGGGGCAGCCCTCAATGGCGCCCCAAGGGAGCAGTGTGGCAGGACGGTACCATGCTCAGGGTACCTCAGTCATGGAGGAGGATGGGGGAGAGCGCTGGTTAATTACTCCCCCCACCAACCTGGCGGGTCGGGAGTCGAACCGGTAACCTTTGGGATCCAAGTCTGACACCCTAACCGCTCACCCACGACTGCCTCCATAATAGTGACCCCATATGTCCAACTTGGGAGCCCTTTGGCCCACCTCAGCCCCCCTGCTTTTACGCTCTGAAAACGCTGTAAAAGCACTTAATACACCCATCTGGCCCTCTTTGGTCCCCTTTGGCCCACCTCACCCCACCACCGGCACTCAAACGGTTAAAAAACACAAAATTGACCCAAAAGTCCCTCTTCGGACCCCCTTCTGGCACGCCCAAAACCAAAGGCAAGACTGCCACCCAGTGGTGGGTGCTCTGTATCGCAGAGGACCCCAAAAGGCCCACTGGAACCCCTTTGGCACTGCTTGAGGAACCTAACCTTCTGCTCTCTCTGCTTTTCCTCAGAGTAGCTTTGCCTCGTCTGTTCCTGTTTGGCTGTGACGTCATCCTGGAAGGAAACATCAGCTGTGCTGCTGCCATCAACACCCTTGTTTATAGATGTTGGAGATCGGCCTGTTTTCCAGTGTGGTCCTGTTTCTCTGACCATGACTGAGTGGATGTGCCCTCTTCGTCCTCTGGCATGGGAGCTGCCTTGGAGCTCGTCTGCCTGGTTGTGTGTTTTCTGGACGGGGCCGCCTTTTACAGCTGCTTTTTGTGTCTCTGCTTCTGTCTCCTTGAACCCCAGTCAGCCTCAGCAGATGGCCGCTCACACTGAGCCTGGTTCTGCTGGAGGTTTCTTCCTGTTAAAAGGGAGTTTTTTCTCTCCACTGTCGCTACAAGCATGCTTAGTGTGAGGGATTGTATTTGAGTCAATGAGTCAATGCAATCAACTGGTTTTCCTTAGATAGAAAACTTGACTGTATGATCTGGTTGAACTGTAAAGTGCCTTCAGATGACATGTGTTGTGAATTTGGCGCTATATAAATAAACTGAAGTGAATTGAATTAAAAGGGAGTTTTTCCTCTCCACTGTCGCTACAAGCATGGTTGGTGTGAGGGCTTGCTGAAGAGTCAATAAGTTGATGCAAATCAGCTGGTTTTCCTTGGATAGAAAACTGAACCAATTTGACTGGATGATCTGGTTGAATTGTCTCTGTAAAGTGCCTTGATGTGAACATGATATGAGTTTGAGCTATAGCTCAAATATAACTGAATTGAATTAGTTTTACTTGAGTAAAAATAAATGGTAAGGTAAAGCTAGTCAAATAATTGAGTCCTTTTCCCACCTCTGCTGGTGACGAAGAAGCAAACAAATTAGTGATCTGCAGACCTGAGCTGTTATCAGCAAAATAACATTGATTGCTTTTACTCTTTACTCTACAGCAGACATTTATCATTCCCATGTAAAAAAAAAACACGCAACACTTGTGAATGATTGAGTTTTTTTTACTGCACATCATTTTTTTGGATAAAAGCAAAGCTTTTCATACAAAATGCTAACTGTAACAGGCTGAAAATACTTTATGATCCTGCAGAGATAAAAATATGGGAAACAAGGAGATCATAACTAAAGAAATTAAGGTGTAAACAACTGACATAGATTTAATTGATGTAACATGACGAGTTATGTAACAGGCTGTTGGTGAATCAAACTAGATCAAACACAAGGTCTAGTTGAAAAGCAGACTATATTTCACAGTTCTTACATGTACGACAGGCTCCCTTTATGTAGGCAGCATGTTGGCAGTTTATCAGACTTTTATAGAAAACTGATTAACTATATGACTCCATTTAAGCAAAATGCTTCACATCTTTAGCAACTGCAAGAGTATTCATTCATGCATCAACTATGTTTCTTTAAAGGAACAAATGCAGAATATAAGATAAGTTTAAGGTCTGATGGTGACTGTGCAGCTTTTCTTGATGTCTCTGAAAGAAGCGCAGTCAAAGTCGACCAGAAGAGTCCTCTCCCCGATCCTGTAGGGAATGAAACCAAGCTTCACACGGACTCGGTTGTGTGGCGGCAGATCTGGAAGTCTGTGAGGAACAAAAGGAAAGTTTTTTTTAGGTTTGCTGCTAAAACAACAAATTCAGACTCATTTAATTTTCTCAGACGTGTGAATTTGAGGGGGAAAAACTATTGAAACAACCAAAATCAGTGATCAAGGAAAAGGAGTTGCTGTTTTTCTTAACTATTTGGTCACATTTAATCATTAAAAAAGTCCTGCAATTTCTTGCAGGACTTTTTGTTGAATTAACATTACACCATTATTCTGGTTTCATTCTTGATTAATTTCAACGTTTTTGTTTCAAAGGTTTATTACCTGAACATGACAAAAGAAATTTAAGGATACCTGGTAACTTAATAATTTTTTTCCATGACTGCTATCTTCTGGATTGTTTGGCTCAGGGTTGAAACAGTCCCATAAAATACAGAACCACCCTTTAGTTGGCTGTTAAATGGTGGACCTGCTTAGCTCCGTGTTGCTGTTACTGTGTCTGTCACAGTCAGCGTACTGCCCTCCGTCTCCAGGATTCATCATACAGACACAGAGAAATATCAGCTGTGCTGCTGCCATCAACACTTTTGTTTTTGGATGTTTGAGCTTGGCCTGTTTTTCAGTGTAGTCCTGTTTCTCTGACTGTGACTAACTGGATGTGCTCTCTTCATCCTCTGACATGGGAGCTGGTTCGGAGCTCATCTGCCTGGCTGTGTGTTTCCTGGACGGGGCCGCCTGTGGAGCTGGGTGACAAGTTCCTTTTGTATCTCTGCTTATTTCTGTATCTCTGCTTCTGTCTCCTTGAACCCCAGTGGGCCTCAGCAGATGGCCGTTCACACTGAGCCTGGTTCTGTTGGAGGTTTCTTCCTGTTAAAAGGGAGTTTTTCCTCTCCACTATAACCACATGCATGCTTAGTGTGAGGGATTGCCTTCAAGTCAATGACTTGATGCAATCAACTGATTTTCCTTAGATAGAAAATTGAATTTGAATCAATTTGACTGGATGATCTGGTTGAACAGTAAAGTGCCCTGAGATGACGTGTTGTGAACCGGCTCTATAGAAATAAACTGAATTGAATTGACACTACAACTCTTCCTCTAAGGGGAACGATGCAAAGTTCCTAATGTGAAGGGAAAGAGAAAAATCCCTGGCTGCTCAACGTTGGTGGGGATGAGATAAATCGTCAAATATATCGAGCTGTTGACGAGCATTTACATAGGTCTAACTGCTTATTATCAGAAGTAGAGGCAAATCATCAAACCAACAAAGTCGTCTCATTACCTAAAAGTTAAACACAGGATTATTTACAGAATTACACATCGGCTGCCATGACTTATACTTATAAGTCCTCTCTGTTGGGATCTGGAGATCTGCCACCTGTCGCCAGCAGAGAGCGCTGTGGGATTCCTGAGCTGGAGCTCTCTGCACACCTGGGAGTCATCAGCTCATCAGAAGACCACACTACTTAAGCAGCAGTCAGACCTTCCTTCAACCCCGCAGTGTTGACCAAGTTTGGTTAGCGAACCTGAGCCTCTGATTATCTTTGTGATCACTAGTTGACTCTTGAGAGAGACTCATCATCTAACCTGTTTTTGTCTTCTTTGCTTATAGAAAGAGCCGACTGAAGTCTGAAGCTCTGGAGGAGCTTAACCTGGAAGATTGCCTGCCTGCCCAAGTAAGCCAAACCTGAAGATCTCAGCCTGGACTCTAATCAGCTCTCTGGGAAGAGCTAACAACTCTGATCCGTCAATCCCTAGCTAGAAGCTAGACGCTGCTGCTGCTGAACTCTCTGTTGGCCCCTCCGTCTCTGGACCCAACCGGTTCCCCCTCTCAAGGATCTATCTGAACCTCTTCAAGGTTCAACTCACCAGTTCAGCCATTTTAGTCCCTGGCTAACCAAACTCTCATCTCCTTCAGAAACTGTGAGACCTGTCCCGGACCGGCACCTGAACCAGTATTATTTACTCTGTGTACACACTGTAAAAACGAAAAAGTTAGTTCAACTCAAATTTCAAGGCAACCGGCTGCACAGAATTTTTGAGTTGAAGGCATCAACTTAATTTATTAAGTCTTGTAGAACTACACTTATTAAGTTCTGCCAACTAAGTTTTTTAAATTCAAGTTACTGGAACTTTCAAGTCTGTAAAAACTTATTATTTTAAATTCAGATTACCATCCCCTGTAATAACTTACATTTTTGAGTTTAAATCCCCCCCCCATTAAATCATCCACTGACAGTAAACCATCCATCCATCCACCAACAGTCATGTTTTTGGACTGTAGGAGGAAGCTGGAGTACCCGGAGAGAACCCACGCATGCTCAGGGAGAACATGCAAACTCCATGCAGAAAGACCCCGGGCCAGGAATCGAACGTTTATTTGAACCACTTTGGCAAAAAACAGGTTTACAATTCCACAATGTAAACAAGTAATCTTATGCTTAAAGCAAATCAGGTTTCAGCATATATTTTTTTTTACTTTTCAACTCCTGTTAAAACCTTACAAATAATGCAATATTGCCAGAGATGACAGGAAACCAGTGCCTTAGTCTTCTCTTGGATGAGTCCTCAGGGAAAGTTACCACCAGCAGAGTGACCAGATGGCAGATGCAAACTATAGAAGGGAGCTCCTGGGAAAATCCATGGAAACCCCGTAGCAGCCGGTTGCCATGACAAATTTGAAATGAGCATGCGCAGATAAGTTGACCTCGCTCGGACTGGGTGTCAACTACAACTTCAAAGTAAACTCAACTTCATTTATAGAATAAGATGAACTTTTCATCAGAAACTTATGGAAGTGAGTTCAACTGGCTCACAACAGACAGTTCAAGTTCCAACTGGCAATTTTTTTGTCAGTGAATGCAAAAATCTTAGTAAGGTGAACAATTTTGAGTTGTTGTTTTTACAGTGAAACCTCTTCAAATAAACATCGTTAAACTTTTCCTCCGTCTCCGTTAGTGTTCTGCATGTGGGTTTAACTTAGTGAACCGATCATGACACTCTCCTGCTGTTGTGGTATATAAGGATTTAATCAGTTTTAACACACACCATTCATCTTGTTATCATGAGAAAACTGCTTTCGTTACCTTTAGATAATGAGAAAATTAACTCGTGAAAAAGTATCGGAGGGAAACGACCGCTCTTGGCTTCCGTAGGGGTGCTAGGGCGTCCCTTTTTTCTTTCTAAAATTAGGAAACCCCTCTGGGGGAAGTTTGGTTGGGTCAAGTCAACCTTCAGACTCAGCAGTACGATGAGCTGCAGACATGGCAGCAGAGAACGACAGGATGAACCACTCACCCAGTAACAATCTCCCCATTAAGCAGGCCACTTCCAGACAGAGTCAGACTGCAGTTTCTGAGAATCTCATTGACAGGATTCATGAAGATCACTTCAGCGATCATCTCCTTCATCAGTCTGCCTTCACCAAAGACCTGAACACACCATGGATTCATGCCGTCAGAAAGGGAAAGAGGAAGAGTGCAACTTGGAACAGGATTTTGTTTTATGAACATTAATAAACAAAATCAATACAACTTTAACAAAACTTAGTGCTGCTTCCTGCTTCTATATCGATGTATATAGGAAGTATTAAAAGTAGACCTTTCCATAATTTGAAGCAGAAATAGCTGAACAGAAGATTACGATAAAGTGTAACAACTGAGTTCCTCTGGATCAATAATATTTTTTTCCTATTAGCCTTCGAACTATTCAAAGTATTTCTATACTTACTGTAATGGAGATGGGGGGTTTCATCAGCACAACGCGGTTCTCTGCCAGGAAAGTATGATTTTTCTTCTGATGGTCGGTGATCATGGCTGAAATGTAAAGGCTCTCACATCCGATCATGAATTTGTGATAAGCCACGTATGGGATCAGGATAGGGACAGTCAGTTCTGGAGGATCCAGAGAGAAAAGAGTCAGGAAAGCACAGGAAACGCCTCAGAGTTTCCTCCAATAAACGCCTTACCTTTCCCAGGCAGCAGCTTCTGCTCCGTGGCCTGAGTGAGGATGTTTCCTGCTGGCCGGCCGGTGTACCTCATGGCCTGAACACTGATGCTGATGGACAGCATCCTGACCACAGTGCTGTCACTGCTTAGAACCAGCCTCAGACTCACATCTTCACCGTCCACTGGCTTGGACACCTTTGGCAGGACAACATTTAAAGGAAAATTCCGGTTTTTAACACTTTTAGCCCCTTTTCTGTAGTGTCCAGGATGAAATCGAATGATCGACACCAAAATTTTGACGATTGGTCCTGTCTTGGCTATTTGGCTCATGCAGAATCCCCCCCTGGCTGCTTCAGAATGGCTTGCATAGTGCATGTCCGATAATGTCCTTAAAACAACCTTAAACGTTCTTTTTTTTAAATATGCTACTCACCGAGTCGTCAACGCTGTTCAATGACGTTCAAAAACAAGTTTCGTAAAGAAAAAACTTTCCTGTAGTGTTTTATTTAGCATTTTGTAAATCCCATTGAGTTCTGTTGGAATAGTCAATATCCCTCCGCCACCGGAAACGGAAACGGGGCCTGTTTACGCTTAGTTGTAGTTTTTTCGCAAGGCCCAAGTGTTTCTGCTTCACTCTGTGTACTCCGACGTCGAGGTGCTAACGTCTCTGTTAAACACTTTAAAAAACTCTGAAAATGGAATACGAAAGGTGGATTCTTGAGGAGGACATATTGGACTTTGAGTTTGACGGTAGAGGATACCGTCGCCAACTAGTGGTCTGGAGTGTGCAACGCTTCAGATTCGAACGGGAAGCGGAAGTTTATAAGCGGTTGTGATGTATCGGAAAAAATAGTTCTGGGATTTACAAAATGCTAAATAAAACAAGACAGGAACGGTTTTTCTTCACGAAACTTTTTTTGGAACGTCATTGAACAGCGCTGACGACCCGGTGAGTAGCATATTTTAAAAAAAGAACGTTTAAGGTTGTTTTAAGGACATTATCTGACATGCACTATGAAAGCCATTCTGAAGCAGCCAGGGGGGGATTCTGCATGAGCCAAATAGCCGAGACAGGAGCAATCGTCAAAATTTTGGTGTCGATCATTCGATTTGATCCTGGACACTACAGAAAAGGGGCTAAAAGTGTTAAAAACCGGAATTTTCCTTTAAGGAATGGGAGCATTTACAATTTTCTTTTTCCAAAAAGAAAAGTTAAAAAACATACCAGTGGACTTTGTTTCTCCAATTTGAAATACTTTTCGCTTCCCATCCAGGAAGCTTTTTCAGTTCAATTGTCAGGAATAACGTAGTTTTAGGTTTTATACAGAAGCCCAACTAAGCCTTGTTTTTGTTTAGAAAACATGCAAATTGAAAAGGACGAACAAGTCCACGCCTTTTGAATGGGGGTCGTTTTGCTTCTTTGTTAGCCTGCAATGCCCCATACCTGTCTATGTCTCTGAAAGAGGGTAATTAAAGGGAATTGTTGGCCTGGCTTAATAGGCGGGATCTTCTGTTCCCCTGTAATAGAATATATTGGAGAAAGCAAACAACCTCTCCACAGATGCATAGCCCAATACAGAACGACCTCCTCTGGACAAGACTCTGCGGTCCATCTACACCTTATGGACAAAGGACGTTCTTTTGAGGACCAGAATGTTCACATTTTGGACAAAGAAGACAGGTGGTTTGAGAGGGGTGTGAAGGAAGCCAACTATGTTAAGAAAAGAAAAAACAACCTAAACAGTGGGGGTGGACTCGGATGTCAGATTCCAAAAACCTACAATGCAGCAATTGAGTCTTGATCAACCGACCCCAGCTGGTTAAACTGGGTCCTCACCTCTCTTCTTCCCGCACTCTCAACACTGGCTCTCCACAGGGCTGCGTGCTGGGCCCACTACTCTACTCCCTCTACACATCCGACTGCATTTCCGCCCAGCCAGAGAACATCATCACCAAGTTCACTGATGACACAACGGTGGTGGGGCTGATTACAGGGGGAAACGAGGCGGCCTACAGGGATGAGGTCCTGAAACTTGGTGAGTGGTGTGCATCAAACAACCTGGCACTAAACATCAACAAGACTAAGGAACTCATCCTGGACTTCAGACGGAAGAAAGCCGCCCCTGCCCCCCTGTACATCAACGGTGGATGTGTGGAGCGAGTGGAGTCCTTCAAATTCCTCGCCATCCACATCTCTGCAGACCTCTCCTGGTCGGCCAACACCACAGCTCTGGTCAAGAAGGCCCAGCAGCGGCTACACTTCCTGAGGGTGCTCAGGAAGGAACAACTAAAAACTCAGCTGCTGGTGACCTTCTACCACTCCACCATTGAGAGCCTGTTGACCTACGCTGTAACAGTGTGGCACTTCAGCTGCACGGAGGCCGACAGGAGGCGACTGCAGAGGGTGACAAACGCTGCACAAAAAATCATCGGCTGCCCTCTGCCCTCTTTGACTGCCATATACCACTCTCGTTGTCGCAGTAGGGCCAGAAACATCCTGAGGGATACCACCCACCCAGGTTTCCATCTCTTCAACCTGTTGCCCCCAGGCAGGCGCTTCAGGTCAATACGGATCAGAACAAACAGACTCAGGGATAGCTTCTTTCCTAAAGCTGTTACCATACTCAACCTAGACTTGCACTAATGTATTGTATATGTATGTATGTGTTATTTATGTATGCTCTTTTACGGAGCTGCTCTCCAAATCTCATTGTATTGTGTACAATGACAATAAATGCTTTCAATTCAATTTCAATTCAATTCCCTCTATCATTGCAACCCAAACCCCTTTACAGTGGAACAGAACACCTTGCCTATTCTGACAGGCCAACAATTAGTTTTGATAAAATAATCATTTTGATGGAAAAGCTGTCTTTTCCATCAAAATTATTATTTTATCAAATCGAATCCATTTGCAGAATGTCTACAGTGGTGCAGAATAAAAGTATTAACTTTACTGAAGAAAAATATATCAACAACTATTTTAGCAAATACTTTAGGGTCCAAAATGAATAAATATTTACTCCTGGTTACCATGCCAACATCCAAACTAAAGGATTCTAGACCAATAGAAATAGTCAGCTGAAGTCAGGTGATTTGGAGCTCAGGTGGTTCCAGATCCTAATAGCTGGAGTTGAGACACGGCTTCTTCTCCACATTAGATCTCTCATATTAAAGACAAAAAAGAAAAATGATGGAAAGCATGGGTCGGACTTAAAAGCCAACTGGAGGAAGAAGAGAAGCTCAGAAGGAACACGGGAGTTGCTGACTCTCTTCTGAACTGTGACGTTAAACGAGTGGTTTGGTTAGCAAACCAACATTAAACAGAAAACGAAGAAAAAAACCTTAAACAGAAAGGGTTGACTCAGGTTTCAGCTTTAAAAAACCTAAGTCAGAGATAGAGTTGATTCCTTCCCACTGTCATTGCAACCCCAACCCACACAGGGGATCAGAAGACCCCGCCTGTTTAGCCAGTATCATGCTCTGCTCTGATAGCTGGCCCTAATTGCTCTTTTCACTCACCTGCCTAGTTCCGCCCAGTCCTTAAAGGAGTAGTACACCCAAAACATGATTAGCCTTCATTTTCTACTCACCCCCATGCTGAACAACACTCTGGAGTACTTTTTTGATATCTCAAATGCATCTGGAGATCTGGGAGGCTTCTTGCTGTCTGCTGACATTCAAATAATGGAGGTCTATGGCGCCCGAGACAGAAAGGTCCATAAAAGTCCACAAAAAACGTGTCAATATTCCTCCATACTGCTCGTCCAATGTATTCCAAGTGTCCTGAGTGGGTAGCGTCCAGAATTTACTCGAAACGAAGTCATTTAGAATGTTTTTAGAGCATAAACAGTAGTGTATAGGATTTCCTGAAAGCGCGTTCACGAGTCTACGGAAACCGCGGCAGACCAAACCACACGGAAGTGCGCATTCAGCGTCTGCTCTGCCGATAATGCAAGCGTAGAAGAAGAAATGTGCTGTTTACCTGTGCAAAGAAAGAAACAACGAAAGAAAAATGTCTGAGGACTTCAGTGTTGAGGAAGAGCATGAGTTCTTTGCTGAGCTGAATGCGCACTTTCGTCTGGGTTGGTCTGCCGCGGTTTCCGTAGCGCCGTGAACGCGCTTTCAGGGGGTGAGTAGAAAATGAAGGCTAATCATGTTTTGGGTGTACTATTCCTTCAATCATCCCGCAGGCTCTGCCTTACATTTGGTCCATTCCAGCTATCGGAGCCAGATCATTGTTAGCAGTAGCATTAGCAGACCTGACAACCGGCTGGCAGACAGAGCAGAGCAGGAGCAGGTGGGCACGTGTACCATCTTGTTGAACTGTTTCTATAAAGTGTCCTAAGACGGCGTGTTGGCAGGAGGGAATTAAACTGGTAGCTTTAATAAAAGCCAACAAAGGAGAAGTTCAGGAGATTCAGTTTTAAAGGGAGTTATCCAGTTTCTTAAACCTTCAGACTGAACTGATTTCTGCAGGCACAATATTTCACAGGATCAGGTTCTTCTCCAAGATCTCCATTATGTCAAAGCATAGATTAATGATGCAGAACGGATCCTCCTGAACCCTGCTGGTTCATAACCCCCGTTTGGACATGGACCAACTGTTTTAGCGCTCTATGAGTTGCGTTTTTGTTTTAGTGTCAAACTAAACATTTTCAAAACCTAGCATCCATTTTCCACATTCCAGGGTTTTTTAGAACATTTAAAACTAAAAATTATTTTTGGCATCATTCAGCCAGAGCAGCAGCTGAACCTCCAATTGCATAAAAAAAAAAAATCCTAAGCTGTGTGGAGATCATCGTCCAGTTAAAGATCTTTGCCGACCAACAGCAAAAACCATCAGAGACCTTTTTATTCATATTTTACAACGTTGAATCCACAACAATTTAAAATACATTTACACAAAAAAAGTGGATCTAAAGAACCAAGATGGTACATTTCTGTGTCCAGCTGTGGACTTACCTCTTCAAATCGAATGAGCAGCTTTGGCGGGGGGGTTGGACTGCATATCGGCTCAGGAGATCCGTTGTTCATGTCTGGCGTCCAATTTTCAACATTTTTCTCAGGGAGGATGCAGATTTCTCCTCCTTCTTCGTTCGCCACTCTCTCCAGGGCAAACTGGAAGACGCTTCTCTCCTGTATTGTTCCTGTGACGATGATAATTCATTTCATCAGTAAAACTGTACCAGAAAAATGGGCCTTCCTGCAGAGTCGCTCACAGAGGTGGAAAGTTACACGTTAGTCTCTGATGTAGTAACTCACTGAACCCTTAAAGTAACTATTGAAATCCATTTTTATTAGCTTCTATGCAGATCAAATACGGAGCTGTCCTGTAAACACACATTTTTCCATTCAGATATTGACTTTACAAAGCAGATCACACAGAAAGTGCAAACAGGATTCCAGGTTCTAAAAACAAAGGCTCTCCTTGGCAAAATGTCGTTCTCTGATCAAACTGAACTTTTTTTCCCCAACAAATTCTAAATGATCACGTTCAGTCGTATCACACAGCAGCTCTGCTCTCCCTAACGGCTGTTCTCACTGATTTAGCATTCAGGGTTCATACAATGCACAAATGGATGAACAGAGACTGGATGTTTTACCTGCCCCAAACCAGACAGCTTTCATAATGAAGCAGGAAATATGTAGATAAAAAATAAGCAGAATTTGCGTTATATTAATTTACTTTACTTGTTTTTTTTTAACTCTCTTGCCGTGATCTGCTGATAACCTGCAGTGGTGTTTATATCTAGAGACATAATTTTTCATTGAATTAATAACAGTAAACTAGTAAATGAGAGTTAAAGGAATAGTACACCCAAAACATGATTAGCCTTCATTTTCTACTCACCCCCATGCTGAACAACACTCTGCAGTACTTTTTTGATATCTCAAATGCATCTGGAGATCTGGGAGGCTTCTTGCTGTCTGCTGACATTCAAATAATGGAGGTCTATGGCGCCCGAAGCAGAGAGGTCCATAAAAGTCTACAAAAAACGTGTCAATATTCCTCCATACTGCTCGTCCAATGTATTCCAAGTGTCCTGAGTGGGTAGCGTCCAGAATTTACACGAAACGAAGTCATTTAGAATGTTTTTAGAGCATAAACAGTAGTGTATAGGATTTCCTGAAAGCACGTTCACGAGTCTACGGAAACCGCGGCAGACCAAACCAGATGAAAGTGCGCATTCAGCTCGGCAAAGAACTCATGCTCTTCCTCAACACTGAAGTCCTCAGACATTTTTCTTTCGTTGTTTCTTTCTTTGCACAGGTAAACGGCACATTTCTTCTTCTACGCTTGCATTATCGGCAGAGCAGACGCTGAATGCGCACTTTCATCTGGTTTGGTCTGCCGGCTTCCGTAGCGTCCTGAACACGCTTTCAGGAAATCCTATACACTACTGTTTATGCTCTAAAAACATTCTAAATGACTTTGTTTCGAGTAAATTTTGGACGCTACCCACTCAGGACACTTGGAATACATTGGACGAGCAGTATGGAGGAATATTGACACGTTTTTTGTGGACTTTTATGGACCTTTCTGCCTCGGGCGCCATAGACCTCCATTATTTGAATGTCAGCAGACAGCAAGAAGCCTCCCAGATCTCCAGATGCATTTGAGATATCAAAAAAGTACTCCAGAGTGTTGTTCAGCATGGGGGTGAGTAGAAAATGAAGGCTAATCATGTTTTGGGTGTACTATTCCTTTAAAGGCTCCTCGCCTGTGGAACCAACTAGTTTTAGTTTTAAGGAAGCTTTGATAAAGCTTCTAGTTAGAGTGGCTCAGGTTATCCTGAGCTATCTCTATAGTTATGCTGCTATAGGCTTAGACTGCTGGAGGACACAGGGAGCCCTTTTCATAATTCTGCTACATTTTTTCTCTATATTCCCATTCTGCAGAATCTGTTAGTTCAATCTCTAACATTCTGCTCTCTCTGCTTTTTCTCATAGTAGCTTCATCTGGTCTGTTCCTGTTTGGCTGTGACTCCATCCTGGTGAGAAATATCAGCTGTGCTGCTGCCATCAGCATCTTTGTTTATAGATGTTGGAGCTTAGCCTGTTTTTCAGTGTAGTCCTGTTTCTCTGACTGTCAGAAGTGGTCCGTGGGGAGCTGGTTGACAGTTGCCTTTCATATTTCTGCTTCTTTTTCCATACATGTTTCTGCCTCCTTGAACCCCAGTGGGCCTCAGCAGATGGCCGCTCACACTGAGCCTGGTTCTGCTGGAGGTTTCTTCCTGTTAAAATTGAGTTTTTCCTCTCCACTGTTGCTACAAGCATGCTTAGTGTGAGGGATTGCTGAAGAGTCAATTAGTCAATGCAATAAAGTGGTTTTCCTTAGGTAGAAAACTTTCAATCAATTTGAATGGATGATCTACTGTAAAGTGCCTTCAGATGACATGTGCCATGAGTTGGAGCTATTTAAATAAACTGAACTGAATTGAAATGAGTTTAATTAGGTCTACTGAGCCTCCTGTTTCAGAGAGCAGCAGCTGCCAGAAGAAAACAACTAATACCAAAGGAATACCCACATCATTCTAAAGGCTTTATTTCATCCTCTATTTGCCTGTAGATGAGTTTTAAATGAGACTTAAGGAGAATCAGTAAACCTTTCTGGTTTGGAAACACCTTGAAATGTTGGTAGAACTGATGGATAACCCTCTGCCTGAACTACAGGAGCTTTAATGGTGGATAGCAATAGTTCTTTCAAGAAAAGAGAGGCTTGCAGAAGGAATCTTCTATTTGTTGTGCAGCAGGTCAGCTAACCCCACCTTCTCTGTGTTTGTAGCTGTCTGTGATGTTCATCCTCTTGGTGGTGCCCACACCCTTGGTGGAGATGTTCTGCCCGATTCTGTTTTTCTCTGAATAAATGCTCTGCTTGGATCCATCCCGCTTGATCTGACCAGAAATAACAAAATGAAAAGGAGGCAAAGATATTTCACTAATGCAAACATTCCGATGATACTAATCCTTCCAAATGGTTTATTACTCTGCAGGAATAACTGATTTTTCTATGGATCCCACTGACCAGCCAGGTGATGCAGTCGGCGTTCACTGAAGCGAAGAGAAATGGAACATCGTATTTGAGATGGATGTCTCCGTTCAGGATCGCCGACACCGGAGCTGGGCCACAGCAGAACATACCTGCAGGACAGCGAGATTAAAGCTTCCATATGACGCAAAATTTACTTTAGAAACTTTTCTAACAGTCATGTGTGCCCTGAGGCGTGTATGAGGGTCATGGCTCAGGGCTGCCTTGCTCCACCTCTTAGCTGATGTGTGCCTAAAATTCTGTTCTAAAATCTCCCCTCATGATGTCATTTCAGGAAAACATCAACACCAAGCGTCCACACAGAGATGGCTAAGCTAAGAGCTAAACACAGCAGCTGCTCTATCAATTTTATGGTACCAGGCCTGTAACGTGACAGCTCAGTTTAACCGTAAGCTATTTGGGACCCTTGTTGGTTTATTTTCTGAAATCTCCATCTGTGCTCCTCAGTCCAGCCCTCAGTCTCCATCTGACTTCAAGCCAAACAGAGTCGAAGTCACATCATGTCTGCTATGAAAGTCATTGCGGAGGCAGAGAGGCTGAGCGTCTCTAATCAGATGCAGCAACATTTCTGAAAAAGTACTGACATATTCAGAGCAAGAGATGCAGCAGAACTGTTAACATGAGGCTGAAAAGTGATGAGAGGAAGAACTGAGATGATCAACAGCAGTGCGGGCAGATAAAGAAGGATGTCTGCATGCAGGGACGTTCAAAAGCAACATAAGGCGTTTTAAATAAAAGAAAAAATCATTTTGAAAGGCACCACTCTTTCAACTTTAAAGTCCCGTAAGGAAACTATATTAACCAAATGTTTTGCAGATGTCATGGGGCCAAAGTACAAAATCAAAGCCAGCATAAAGTCAAGCAATCAAACTCAAAATATCAAAGTGTCACTGTACCATCACTCTTCTCCTGTGGAGTTGGATCCAAAGCCTGCCAGCCATCATATCTCCCATCTTTGGCCAAATCGGGTCGCTTCATCCAGCCCTCCACCCAGACGTGATAATTCCTTAAAAAAACAATCACATTTAATGAGTGATGAAAAACAATAAACGCTCGAGAACAAAATGAAAAGACAGAAGCAAACTGCTGCAACTTGTTGCAGGATAACAGTATAGTTATAATGTGAACTTTTAGATCATCATCCATTCCTTTGACCCTAATCCAGAGACCATGAGGATGGTAAAGCAGGAAGAAGAGGAAAATAAGGTTACAAGCTCTACATGTCTCCAACTTCTCACCAGACGCTGTCTTTGGTCTCTTTCTCACGGACTCCGTAGTCGGCAAAGTAGGTGTCGATGGTCAGGTTCTTGTTGGTGTCATGAGCCGACTGGAAGTTGGTGACGACGCGGCAGGGAATGCCCAGCAGACGCATCACTGGAACCAGTACACAGCATCGTTACCATCGTTCCACAGGTAAATATTTAAAATGAATCTTTGAAGCATCTTTCTGAGGGTAGAAGGATTTAACCGTATAAACACATTATTTAAATGTTTAGTTACTCTACAGCAGAGGTCTTCAGATTAGCGGACTGTGGTCCGAATCCGGACCCACCTGATGGATAAACCGGACCAAACCTGATTTAAAACATTTATAAATGACCGCATGTTGTCCGACAACAGTTTCTAAATTCACCTGCACCACTTCTCCTGTTAATACGGTAAAGCCCTACGGATCGTTTGGCATCAGGCTACATGTGATCCAAATGAGCCAATGAGATGTCAGTCTGGGTTGCTGCTGCTGCTACTTTTAGACACAGCAGGCAAACCTGTGGCAAGCCGGGCGATGGGAAAGAAGGAGAAGACCATGAGAAAAAGAGAGCAGAGAAAGTGTGGACTGCTGGAAGAACTGCGGTGAACTGGTGAAAGAAAAGTGAAATGGCGTGCTCAAAGATGACCCTGCACATTTAGAGGATGTTTGGCTCAACCTGCTGCTGTGAAGCAGGATTCTCCACCATGAACAGAATCAACAATAAATCTGGATCCAGGCTCAAAATGAGCTCCTTGATATGTGCTTGAGAATGGCTTAGTCTCCGGTTAAACCCAGGTTTAAAGCCTTGCAGGGCAGCCTAAAGCCCACTGCCAACATTAAGACAGGAAAAAGTAAGAAAATAACAAACGATCAGTTTATAAAATATGTGAATCAGAGATTGTTTATATACCGAAATGAACAAATGTTGTTCTCAACTTTAAAAAACACTTTAGATTTTCTTTTTCTTTTTTTTTATTATTTAAAAATTCTATGTATAACATGGATGCATAAAAACCTCTATTTCAGTGTTAAATTCTGCATAAAGTAACAGATTCTAATAAAAAAAATGTCTCTGGACCTTTACTGGTTGATGAGTTTATTTGGACCCCAATGATTTTAAATTGTTTAACCCTGCTCTACGTGTCACACTTATTACAAATACCATTTAAAATACCTTCATAAATAATGTGATCTCTAAATTAATGTTTCTTAGGGTTACTTTTAGCCCTTCTTCCTCTTCACCACTATCTTTTTTTTGTCAGAATGACTCACTTTGACATTTCTGTGAACATAGAAGCTCTGATCTTTAAATTATATCTTAGAAAAGCTAACTCTTAGCTAGCTCCACTGTGTCGCTGTCCGATAAAACAAGCAGCTAATGAGACGATCACTTAACCAGTTTCCATGTGAGGCCAAATGTTTCATTCAGACCTAGAATTCCAACTTGTGGCCACTTCCTGTCAAACTTTGGAAGTGTTGCTACACACATCAGCATCATAACCACTCCATTGTATGACCTAAGCGGTGCGATGTGAGATAAGCGTCTTGCTGGATAATTCCACTAGAAGGTACTAAGATGCTGAAGACAAAACCTTAAGCTGTTTTGAGCAGTTTAATTTCCACCTTAAACATGCAGGTGTGCAGTTATCAAATCTTAATGCAAACATGTGGTACCTTTGTAAATTAAACACATCTAAGTTATTGCAGATGTTCCTAATTGTTTGTGATTTAATCTAAAAATAAATTCAATATGAAGCTAAATTGGGGCCATAAAATTCTTCATAGTCCTTCTATGTAAACAAAAATGTTAAATAAATAGCATTTTTAAAACTCACCAAAAAAAAAAAAAGAAATGAAAGGAAATTAAACTGAAAAAAATATGTTAAAATAAATATAAGCATTTTAAACCTTTTTTAGATTAAAGTTTAAAGTGTCAGTTTTCATAGTTTCTTGTTTTAAAATGCTGCATCCTCGGCATGGGGGCGGGGCTTAGATGTCATGTGGCGTGGAACGATGACAGACAGCTGAGGTCTGTGATACATTCCAGGCCTGGAGCTGATTATCTCCAACTCACCCGCCATTTCGCTTTGCTCATCTCATCTGTCAGTCATCATCCCAAACCCCGTATCATCTAAACCCTCCCCATTCTGAAACTGAAAAAAACAATTCACAAAGTAAAAGCAGTTTCTAAATATTTTCTTTTCACTTTTAGATTATTTCCACAGTTTTAAATGACTTTTTTTTTTGTAGAAAAATGTTTTTAACAACCTTATGCCACCCCTAAGACCTTTCAGGGGTTATGACCCCGGTGTTGAAGACCTTTGGTCTAAAGAGTTCTGTGAAGTTCTGAGTATCTCTAAAGTCCAGGATCTTACCTGAACACATGACACCAGCAAACACCCAACACTGGCCATACTTCACAGAGCAGTAGATTGAGTTGAACCACTTGTGAAGAATGACGTAGCTGCTGCTCCAGTGAGTAGGGGAGACCCCCCCTCTGAAATCATTTCCCCAGTTTCCCTTCAGGATGCCACCATCATTTGCACTGTTAATCTGAGGAAACACATTTATTTATTTTTTTATTGTACCAAGGCACAGAGAAAAAGTCATTTTGACCCAAACAAAAACAGTTTACTAGTAAGCAAACTTATTTACCCAGATTACCAGACTATACTCACCCAGACAATTATTAACCCAGATTATTAATGACCTATTTTATTATTAAGCCATATTTTTATTATCCCAGATTATACTAACCCAGCTGATTACTAACCCAGATTATCCTAACCTAGATTATTATTGATGCAGATTATGAATAACCCATTTTATTAATAACCCACATTACACTAACTCAGATGATTACTAACCTAGATTGTACTGACCCAGATTATTAATAACCCAGATTATTATTGATGCAGATTATGAATAACCCATTTTATTAATAGCCCAGATTACACTAACTCAGATGATTACTAACCCAGATTATACTAACCCAGATTATGCTAACCCAGATTATTATTACTAACCTACATACTACTGATTATACTAACCTAGTTAATTACTAAACCAGTATAAACTAATTCAGATTATTAATAACCCAAATTATGAATTACCCTTTTTATTATTAACCCAGATTATACTAACTCAGCTGATTACTAACCCAGATTATCCTAACCTAGATTATTATTGATGCAGATTATGAATAACCCATTTTATTAATAACCCACATTACACTAACTCAGATGATTACTAACCTAGATTATACTGACCCAGATTATTAATAACCCAGATTATTATTGATGCAGATTATGAATAACCCATTTTATTAATAGCCCAGATTACACTAACTCAGATGATTACTAACCCAGATTATACTAACCCAGATTATTAATAACCCAGATTATTATTAACCCAGATGATTACTAGCCCAGATTATTATTAACCCAGATTATGAATTACCCTTTTTATTATTAACACAGATTATACTAACCCAGCTGATTACTAACCCAGATTATGCTAACCTAGATTATTATTGATGCAGATTATGAATAACCCATTTTATTAATAACCCAGATTACACTAACTCAGATGATTACTAACCTAGATTATACTGACCCAGATTATTAATAACCCAGATTATTATTGATGCAGATTATGAATAACCCATTTTATTAATAGCCCAGATTACACTAACTCAGATGATTACTAACCCAGATTATACTAACCCAGATTATTAATAACCCAGATTATTATTAACCCAGATGATTACTAGCCCAGATTATTATTAACCCAGATTATGAATTACCCTTTTTATTATTAACACAGATTATACTAACCCAGCTGATTACTAACCCAGATTATGCTAACCTAGATTATTATTGATGCAGATTATGAATAACCCATTTTATTAATAACCCAGATTACACTAACTCAGATTATTAATAACCCAGATTATTATTAACCCAGATGATAACTAACCCAGATTAATATTAATACTGATTATACTAACCCAGTTAATTACTAAACCAGTATAAACTAATTCAGATTATTAATAACCCAAATTATTAATTACCCTTTTTATTATTAACCCAGATTATACTAACTCAGCTGATTACTAACCCAGATTATCCTAACCTAGATTATTATTGATGCAGATTATGAATAACCCATTTTATTAATAACCCACATTACACTAACTCAGATGATTACTAACCTAGATTATACTGACCCAGATTATTAATAACCCAGATTATTATTGATGCAGATTATGAATAACCCAGATTATTATTAATACTGATTATACTAACCCAGTTGATTACTAAACCAGTATAAACTAATTTAGATTATTAATAGCCCAAATTATGAATTACCCTTTTTATTATTAACCCAGATTATACTAACCCAGTTTATACTAACCTAGATTATTATTGATGCAGATTATGAATTACCCTTTTTATTATTAACCCAGATTATACTAACCCAGCTGATTACTAACCCAGATTATACTAACCTAGATTAATATTGATGCAGATTATGGATAACCCATTTTATTAATAGCCCAGATTACACTAACTCAGATGATTACTAACCCAGATTATACTAACCCAGATTATTAATAACCCAGATTATTATTAACCCAGATTATGAATTACCCTTTTTATTATTAACCCAGATTATACTAACCCAGCTGATTACTAACCCAGATTATACTAACCTAGATTATTATTGATGCAGATTATGAATAACCCATTTTATTAATAACCCAGATTACACAAACTCAGATTATTAATAACCCAGATTATTATTAACCCAGATGATAACTAACCCAGATTAATATTAATACTGATTATACTAACCCAGTTAATTACTAAACCAGTATAAACTAATTTCAATCCAATCCACTTTATTTATATAGCACGGTTTAAATAAACACAAGGTTTCCAAAGTGCTGCACAAAAAGATAAAATAACTAAAATAAATAAAAGTAATAAAATAAAATAAAATAAAAGCACTGCCCGCACAGGATAAAAAAATGCATGTGTATACATAAAATCAACATGTGTACATAAAATCAACACTCTACATGGTGTTAAAAGCCAAAGAAAAGAGGTGGGTTTTAAGAAGAGTTTTAAAATGAGACAGAGAGGTGGCCTGTCTAATGTGCAGCGGCAATGCATTCCAGAGTTTTGGAGCTGCAACAGAAAACGCTCGATCCCCTCTGAGCTTAAGCCTTGCTTTAGGCACTGTCAGGAGCAGCTGATCAGCTGACCTGAGAGATCGGCTGGGAGTGTAGGGGTGCAGAAGCTCAGAGAGGTAAATTGGGGCAAGGCCATTCAAGGCTTTAAAAGTAAATAAAAGAATTTTAAAATTAATCCTAAAATGGATGGGCAGCCAGTGGAGTGAAGCTAAAACAGGTGAAATGTGCTCGTACTTGCGTGTGCCAGTTAAAAGACGTGCAGCAGCATTTTGAACAAGTTGAAGACGAGCAATTGAGGACCCAGCAATCCCCACATAAAGTGCATTACAGTAATCCAGCCGAGTGGTCACAAAGGCGTGGATTACTGTCTCAAAGTGCTGTCTCTGAAGGACTGGTTTGATCTTTGCCAGCTGCCTTAGCTGGAAAAAGCTAGATTTCATTACAGCTTTTATCTGGCTGTCAAATTTAAGGTCTGAGTCCACTTTTACCCCGAGGTTTCTTACAGTTGGTTTACTGTATTGCGATAGAGAACCGAGATCAACTAGGGAGGGGGTCACAGATGTGCCACCAAAGACCATGACTTCTGTCTTTTCTTCATTAAAATTCAGAAAATTTAAAGACATCCAAGCTTTAAGGTCATGTAAACACCTTAACAGTGGTTCAACAGAGTAGGAATCAGCCTTTTTGAGGGGGACATAAATCTGGCTGTCATCAGCATAACAGTGAAAGGAAATGCCATGTTTCCTGAGAATGGAGCCAAGTGGGAGTAGATAGAGAGAAAATAAAAGAGGGCCAAGCACGGAGCCCTGTGGGACCCCACATGAGAGAGGAGCAGTGGAGGACACAGAGTCATCAAGGCTGACACAGAAAGTCCGATGTGACAGGTAGGACATGAACCATTCCAGTGCTAAGCCCCTGATGCCCACCCACTGTTCCAAACGAGCAATCAGGATTTCATGGTCCACTGTATCAAATGCTGCAGTCAAATCTAAAAGTACAAGGACAACACAGTGTCCAGAGTCAGTAGCTAAAAAGATGTCATTAAAAACTCTTAAAAGCGCTGATTCTGTGCTGTGCAATGTTTTAAAACTAGATTGGAAAATCTCAAGAACATTTTGTTCATTTAAAAAGTCCACGAGCTGAGAATAAACAATCTTCTCTAAGATTTTTGAGAAGAAAGGCAACTTAGAGATAGGCCTAAAATTCGACAGAACAGTAGGATCCAGCCCAGGTTTTTTTAATAAAGGCTGCACGACTGCATGTTTAAGATTTAAAGGGACTACTCCAGAGGACAGACTGCTATTAATAATTGTGAGACACGATGGCCCGATAGTGGGAAAGACCTCCTTAAAAAATCGGGGTGGGACAGTATCATCTGGAGACCCTGAAGGCTTCAAGTGACCCACAATCTCCTGCACAAAAGGCAGGGTCACAGGTTCAAACATGTCAAACACAGCAGAGCAGGGGACAAACACCGAAGGATCAGAAGCAGGAGGTGAAATAAGTATTAAGTATTAAGAAATAAGTACTAATTTAGATGATTATTAACCCAGATTATGAATTACACTTTTTATTATTAACCCAGATTATACTAACCCAGCTGATTACTAACCCAGATTATTATTGATGCAGATTATGAATAACCCATTTTATTAATAACCCAGATTACACTAACTCAGATGATTACTAACCTAGATTATACTGACCCAGATTATTATTAACCCAGATGATTACTAACCCAGATTATTATTAATACTGATTATACTAACCCAGTTGATTACTAAACCAGTATAAGCTAATTTAGATTATTATTAACCCAGATTATGAATTACCCTTTTTATTATTAGCCCAGATTATACTAAACTAGGTGATTACTAACCCAGATGATTTCCAACCCAGATTATTAATAACCCAGGTTATCAATAACCCAGTTTATTAATAAACCAGAATATTAATAACCCAGATTATTATTGACCCAGATCAGCTCCAAGATCATGTTGCTTTTCTCAATGTTTGAGCTCTGTTGAATTTGACTCTGCTAATTTAGGGTCTTTTCTGTTTAGTATTTTTTCTTCCAACATGGCAAAATGTTTCCCCACATGTTCCAACCCACAGTTAGAGAGTGAGAAAAGCTTTCTAATAAATCTGTCGTGTTCAGCAACCACTGGGTGTCAGTATAAGAACAATGTATGCAAACCGTTGAGGTGGAATTGAGAAGATGAGAAAGGTGAAACCTGTTTTCAAGGTGATTAGTTTCGGTTATAACAGAACCATTCAGACAGGTGAAAATAAGATCGAAGAACTAATGTTTTAAAGGGATTGAAATCTGTTCCGTAACGAGGAGCAACGCGGCATCATCATTAAAGTTTAAGGAACACAGAGGTCAGCCCACCATGGACGTGATAATCCGACTGACGTAGATGGGGTTGCAGCGGGCCGAAACGTCGGCAGCTGGATCACGCTTGTATTTGATGCTGCAGTCCAGAATCTTCATGCAAATCTTCACCATATTTTCTTCAAACTGGATAATAAGGGAGAGACAAACGACTAGTTGACCTCTAAGCGTTTCATGCTGGATCTAACTGATGCATTCAGACGGGTCCTACCTGTCCATAGTCCCAGTGCATCGGAGATATGTAATTATCAACACCTTTGTAGATGATGCCTTGTTCATTCATCACATACTCGTTTCTCTCCTTATCATCATGCATAAAAACCCAGTCAGCTGCAGGAAACCCCAAAGAATCACAGGAACATCATAAAGAGGAAACTGGCTGGAACCAAAACAGATTTAAAGGATATCACATACCGTATTTTCACGACCATAAGGCGCACCGGACTAAAAGGCGCACTCTCAGTTATGTGTCCCATTTCTGTATTTAACACACACATAAGGCGCACCGGACTATAGGGCGCGTTTTTTATATACAGGTACATGTCCTCTCAGGTGGATTTTCCCACTTAAAAACATGTTAAAACTACTTTATTCCCACTGATCACAGCAAATAAAGCTGCAAGGTGTATTTATTACAAAGTATTATTAAAACCTGAGAACCTGCCGTGAGAGACACATCGCTGATGACACAGGGCTGTGATTACTCCTCTGATACAGTTTATTGACGCATAAATTAACTTAAAACATAGGCAGGATAATAATCTGGATGAACTGACTGCAATGATTAAATTTTCAGGTGGGCTTTCTCACTTAAAAAGATTTAGATTATTTAGATGAAAAAACACCTGCGGAGGTGAGTCCCGATGCGCCGCGGCCCACAGGCAGCTGTTGAATTAAGTTTTCAGGTAGAAAAATAGAGCGGGAGCAAAACTGAGTATGATTGTGCTTTATTCAAGTATTTATTACAGAGTATTAATCAAACCCCTCAAAGTCCTCATCCTCTGTTTCTGAATTAAACAGCTGCGCTAAATCCGACATGCCAGTTTCCCCTTCTTCTTCGTTTATTGACGCATAAATTAACTTAAAACATAGGCAGGATAATAATCTGGATGAACTGACTGCAATGATTAAATTTTCCGGTGGGCTTTCTCACTTAAAAAGATTTAGATTATTTAGATGAAAAAACACCTGCGGAGGTGAGTCCTGATGCGCCGCGCGGCCCACAGGCAGCTGTTGAATTAAGTTTTCAGGTAGAAAAATAGAGCGGGAGCAAAACTGAGTATGATTGTGCTTTATTCATGTATTTATTACAAAGTATTAATCAAACCCCTCAAAGTCCTCATTTTCTGTTTCTGAATTAAACAGCTGCGCTAAATCAGACATGCCAGTTTCCCCTTCTGCGCTGTCAGAGTCACTTTCCGTGCAGCGCGGCTCCTCAGAAATAATGCCTGCTTTTGCAAAAGCTTGAAGAACAGAGCCAGCAGACACGTTATTCCTCGCTGCTTCTGCTGCACCTGCTGGGTCCGGTTCACACCGATGTCGAGCGGTTGAACAGCGAGCACAGGGTTAATTTGTTTCCCCATGTTTTTCACATCAGCTGTGAGATGGGCACGCATGGAGTTACATATTAATGGTGATGAGTGGAAAAAAAACAGCTGGTCTCCTTACATTCAGCCACTCTTTCATCATCTCCTCAATGAGGTGGTCTCAAAAGTCGCAGTTACAACACACATAGGGCGCACCGCACCATAGGGCGCACCGCACATTTTGAGGGGGAAAAAAGACTTTTAAGTGCGCCTTATAGTCGTGAAAATACGGTAAGTGTTTTTTTTTCTCCACTGCTTGATTTTCACAAGTCACTTGCCTTCATGCTGCTCATATTTAATCATCAAATAATAATGATTTGGTATAGAAATGAAAAAAGGTCATGACCGATTTGCAGCAGAGTTATTGGAGCGATCTAAATGAAACCTGAAATCCAGAATAGAATTTAAAATCCTCCTTCTCCCATATAAAGCCTTAAATGGCCAAGCTCCATCTGATTTCAGAGATCTGATTGTTCCTGATGTTCCTAACAGAGCACTTTGCTCTTAATCTGCAGGTTTACTAGTGGTTCCTAGAATTTCTAAAAGTAGAATGGGAGGCAGATCATTTAGTTCTCAGGCTCCTCTCCTGTGGAACCAACTACCAGTTTTAGTCCGTGAGGCAGACACCCTGTCTACTTTTAAGGCTAGGCTTAAAACTTTCCTTTTTGATAAAGCTTCTAGTTAGAGTGGCTCAGGTTATCCTGAGCTATCTCTATAGTTCTGCTGCTATAGGCTTAGACTGCTGGAGGACATAGGGACCCCTTTTTCATCATTCTGCTTCATTCTATCTCTATTCTCCCACTCTGCAGAATCTGTTGGTTCAATCTTGACTGTGTGATCTGGTGAACCGTAAAGTGCCTTGAGATGACGTGTTGTGAGTTGGCGCTTTATAAATAAACTGAACTGAATCTCTAACATTATGCTAGCTTCGCCTCTTCTGTTCCTGTTTGGCTGTGACTCCATTCTAGAGAAAAAATATCAGCTGTGCTGCTGCCATCAACACCTTTGTTTCTAGATGTTGGAGCTCGGCCTGTTTTTCAGTGTAGTCCTGTTTCTCTGACTGTGACTAACTGGATGTGCTCTCTTCATCCTCCGACATGGGAGCTACTTCAGAGCTTGTCTGCCTGGCTGTGTGTTTCCTGGACGGGGCCGCCTGTGGAGCTGGTTGACAGTTGCCTTTTGTATCTATGCTTCTTTTTCTATGTCTGCTTCTGTCTCCTTGAACCCCAGTCGGCCTCAGCAGATGGCCGCTCACACTGAGCCTGGTTCTGCTGGAGGTTTCTTCCTGTTAAAAGGGAGTTTTTCTTCTCCACTGTCACTTCAAGCATGCTTAGTGTGAGAGACTACCTTCAAGTCAATGAGTCGATGCAATCATCTGGTTTTCCTTAGATAGAAAACTTTGAATCAATTTGACTGTGTGATCTGGTGAACTGTAAAGCGCCTTGAGATGACATGTGTTGTGAATTGGAGCTATAGAAATAAACTGAACTGAAATGAATTGAAACCTCTAATAATAGAAACATTGTCTAGGCTACAGTTTATGATGGATATCTATTTCCCTATGAGACTTTATTTCTTCCCCTAAAAACTCTTTAGTTAGAGGCAGATCCAGATCTGCTCCAAGATAGACCTCTGCAGGAGACCCTTCCTGTAACATCTACAACATCTCCTGGATAAAGCTGCCCATGATGCACTGCAACATTTAATTTCATAACATGTTTGTGAATAGAAGTGAAAACCTTCATCACCAGGGCTGTAACTCGGACCAATGTACTGAGGAGCAGTGCAGAGATCCCCATCCTACCAGAACACCAGGGGTTGAACAGCAGGGAAAGCTTTGCCAGCTCCCTCTCCTCCCTCCCCAGCGTCGCAGACAGCCTGTACTCCCCCACTGGAGCGTCAGCTGGGGGAGTTATGCTCAGAGTCAAGGTTCCCATCTCAGCAGCAGAGCTCCTCTCAAGTTCTGCTCTCCACACCGCCTTAGCAGAGGCAGAACGCTGCACCTTGTCTGGGACACCGAAACGTGACATCGTCCCCAGGTTCTCAGACGGATGTTCTCCTAACAAGAGGAACCACAGAATGGGTCAGACAGCGCTCTGTAGCTAAGATCAACTCAACAAAGGATGAAATAAAGGGCCGACCTGTTGCTACGGTCATAGTGAGCTGATCTGAGGTGGGTTTGAAAGCTTGAGCCAGTTTGATGGTCAGTTTGAAACTCTGTCCTCGTCTCACAATCAGCTCCTTGGTGGAGATTTCACTGGTGTGGTGATCATTGTTGTTGGTCTCACTGTGCAGGTCGACACCAGTAAACCCTGAAAACAGAGAAAGACAATGTTAAACTGCAGGGAAGTCTGCAGGAAATACAGAGGTCTCTGCAGCTGATTCCTCTATATAGCTAAATAGGCCTGATCATCCAAAATTCAGACAAACATTAAACCGGAAGACAAAAACATGTTTTTTTAATGAAGATTTTTTTAATGGAGAGGGAGAAGGTCCACGCCTTAATGGCCGCTCCGTGAAGAAGAGATTCCAGGTTCCTCCTAATTAGAAACACCTTGGTTTCTGCTACAATCTCTGCTTTTTCTCAAAGTAGCTTCATCTGGTCTGTTCCTGTTTGGCTGTGACTCCATCCTGGAGAGAAATAACTTAAATTGTATCCTTGTACTAGGTCAAATAAGTTGCCTGTAGTGTCCTTAAAGGTCCAGCAGGTGTCAGTATTCTGTGAGACAGTATAAACACAGCATCAATACAGTTTGGCAATGAGTCAAAACGCTTCAAGATGTCTCATTAACCCCGCGGTTCTCAAAGTGTGTGGCGCGACCCACTGGTGGGGAATTGAGACGTGACAGGTGGGGCGCGCCAAGTTCCGGTGTGTGTTGTGTGACTATAAATGTAGAACGTGTGAGAGCAAACTGTCCTTATAGCTGTATGTTGCCGCTTTTTAGACCAATCAAACCCACAAAGTAATCATTACTAGCCTACATGCAGTCTAATTAAAAGAACATTAGATATGAGAAAAATTTCACCTGGAACTGAAGTGCCAAAATAATGATTGACGTGACGTCGGCATATTATTTGTAACGGAATAAACTTTCGCGCCCCAGTGTTGCCAACTCAGAGACTTTGTCGCTATATTTCAGACCCCTCCAGCGACTCTTTTTCAAAAAAGCGACTAGCGACAAATCTAGCGACTTTTGGAGACTCTTACGTGAAAGCACGTATCGTTCCTTTTCTTGTCCTCCAGCGGCAGGTGCTGCCGTGGGGCGCCTCCCCCATCCCAACCCCGTTCTCCCCCGCTATCGCAGGAGTCCCTCTCAGCGCTGCAGTCAGAGACACAGCATGTTTACCCTCAGCGTCCAGACTGCAAATAAAGCGCACATGCGCCGGGATTGACGGCGCAGGTTGATCATAAATAACTGAATTTGAAATATTTTATCTTAAATAAATAACGGCGTTTGATTCACACAGCCACATGTTCATGTTTCTGGTTTGGAGTGGAGAGGGAGTATCCACTCATCGGGCAGAGAGCTGTGTGCATTCTTCTTCCCTTTGCCACATCATATCTCTGTGAGATGGGCTTTTCAGCTGTTGCTTCACTGAAAACAAAGCATGACAACCCCGTTTTGATAAACTGTGCAATGCAAAACAGGCTCATTGCAGCCACTAATGCAGGGATAAATAGACCTGTCTTGCCAGATGGATTTCACTTCTTTTCTTTTATTAACAGATTGCAGAGTGGCACTTTAATTTTTTCTATCTTTGAGCTGCATTTTTATTTTCTTTATTTTTGTTTTTATTTTCTTTATTTTTGAGCTTGCTGTTATTTGATGTAGGTAGTTTGTATTTAGATACTACTTGTTACTTCAATAAAATTGGAACATTTTAAGATCGTTTCATATTTCATTAGCATTGTGTTGGGGCGATGGGGACAGGCGGGGCTTGAAAATTCCCCCTTGTCCAAAGTGGGGAATGACAGAAAAAGTTTGAGAACCACTGCATTAACCCATCACTAGTGTTTACCTGTGTTATCTTTGGGAGCTTGTTTAACCATAAATATACTATTGTTTGATCAATCAGTGTTTGATTCACTTTTAAGCCTTCCATTAAATCTTAAGATTAATCTCTTCCATGAATTACAATTTCATCATTCTTATATCACGACTTGAATAAAAAAGGATTAACAAGTTGTGCAACATCTTAATACTGTGTGCTGATTTAAGCATGAGCAGAACATTCTAGACTGATGTCAGAGCGCCGCATGCCAAAGGCTTGCTAGGTTTCTGTGAGAAAGCAGGGCGTGTCAGTGTCAAAGCAGAATCATTAAAGAAGGCATGTCCAAGCAGGGAGGAATCCTAGGAACACACCAACAACATACCTTCTGTTTTGTGGTTAAAGTCTTAAACCTGGGTAGGTGCTTCAGATCCTCGACAGCATAGAAAGCTACTTAAGAGAAAACCAGAACTCTGACAGCTAAATGTTGACCTGCACAGGGGAACAGACACTGCATGAAAAGTGAGATTTTCGTCCCCGTAAACTCCCGCAGATCTGCCTGATTTTCGTCAGTTTCCGACAATTTGCAACCCGTGCTTGTCCGCGTTTGTCGTGCCACAAATTGTCGGAAACGGACTCTGACGTATGTGGAGAGCGATCAGCTGTACTAATGGCCCTAATTAGCATATGAATGCAGCAAACCCGCGCGGCTGGCCAGGTCTGGCTTGAATAACCTTCTCAGTATTGGCTGAAACCACTATTCTCAAACAAATGAAATCGCTCGTGATTGGCAGCAAAACCACACGTGGCCACGCCAGGCTTTAATTTTCTTACTGAGTATTGGACGGAACCACTTCTTTTTAAACAAGTAAAGTCGCTCGTGATTGGTTGGCATATATATATATTTACATATAAATTTACATATATATATTTATTCATATATATATATATATATATTTATTCATTCATATATTTATTCATTCATATATTTATTCATTCATATGGTGTGTATTTATGTTATCCTACACTACTACACAATTATTATGCTACCATCAAGGACATGAATGAATTTATACAGGAAATGAAGATTTGCCAGGAAGCTGTTTATGCAAAGAAAGAGCTTTATTGAAACACAACTATATACAACGCGTATCCAAACACATGCGTTTCTAAAAATTAAAAGTCCGTGAATGGTCCGTTTGCTTCCTCTGGGTTGGAGGTAACTGGCAGCATTCCCTCCGAGGCAGGTCCGATGTGCAGACGCCTACTGTGCGTGGCCCTGTACTTCGGCATCGCTTCTAACCGAGACTGCAGCTTAAAACAGAGTTCAGTGAGATCCGGCCTACGAAATGGCGGCGACCGTACAATCCATCCAGAGACACCGCCGAGGAAGGCGGACTTCCAGAGTTCCACTTCCTCATCTGCTAGCACACTCTGCCTCGCTTTCAGCAGCTGAAAAAAAAAACAATGAATCAGCGCACTGCGTATGGACACAACACATCTATTAATGCACCTGAAAAATAGTCACCAAATAAAGTCTTACCCTCTTTCTTCTGGCCCGACTCCGAGCAGATAGCCTCCGCACGCAGCGTGTGGCTGGCTGCGTATATCTGAAGCTCCTGCGTACCGTCTGAAAATACGTCTTACAGGCAGCTGGAAAACAATTAAATGAGAGTGGTATAAATAAAAAATCAAACGCAAGTCACAGTAACAAGGAAGGAGAAAACATTAAAACAAGTCACTTACACACAATGTCATCTTTATCAACATCGTGCAAATCTGGACTTGCCGAGATGGGAGGTCTGTGAAAACAAAATGTAAAAGCTATGATCGGTATCCATCCGTATCCATTGCCTTTTACCGCAGAATGAAAGCATACTCTTTAAATCTTACCCTTGCTCCGGTTCATGGCGCCTGCAATTAGTCTCCGAGTTGTGAAGACGGCGTACTGCTTCCTGTAAATCACCAAAAAAAACACTTCAATAAAGCTTGTTCTAGCAAGGCTACTATTAGCCGCTATTAGCCGTAGCTTAGGCTAGGCTGCTTTTAGCTTAGCAGGCAGTAATCGAACATATATTTACCGCTGAAATCTCTTCTTTGAGTTCGTCTTGTTCGATGCAGAGTCGCCATCCCGTCCAAGAGGAGTTTTACCCCGAAATCCAGAAGCTCCAGACCGCTGCACAAAGCAAAGCATACATCCTCCACTGTGGCTGCACACCGCCGTTCTGAGTTTCTTGGAGATCGTAGGGAGCATGCGCGAGATGAACCAGGGTGTCCGCGGATCAATAAAAATAATTAAAAAATCATTCTTTTTTTTTTTTTTTATCAAGGCCTTAATTGGCACTAAAATTATTTAAATATGTTTATCGAAGTATTTATAATTCTTTAATAAAAAATGCTTATAAAAACAATTTCGTCAGATATATTATATCGCTCCAGGCGGAGAAAAAGCTAGAGGATATATATATACGTATATATGTGTGTGTGTGTGTTTACATACATACAGGAGTCATGGAACTCTGCTTGCAGCGCCCTCATATTTCATGTACACTAATAACTTGTGTACATGGTTCTTGATGATGGCATTAAAATCATTTCAAATAGCATTAAAATAGCATTAAATTAGAGTCACTCATTCCTGTATGAACCCTGTGAGCGCTTAATTTAATATGACATATTAAAAAAATCCCACCATCATCCAGCATATGTTCAGTTTCTGCCCAAATATATATGTAGATTTTTGTAACGGGGATAAGGATAATTCAAAACTGCTTTTTTTTTAATGAACTTGTTCACTACTTCCAAACTCAGCATCTCTTTTCATTCCTGTAATAAGAAGTTTCTTTTGAATGGATTTGATTAAAGTTTAAGTCCCTCGGTATAAAATAAATATTTTGATGGAGATGAGAAATCTGCTTCCTCGTTGGTGAATAACCAATAGTTTGGATCCAATCATTTAAATAAACGGTGTTAGTTTTTTATATATATATATATATATATATATATATATATATATATATATATATATATATATATATATATATATATATGTATATATATATATATATATATATATATATATATATATATATATATATATATATATATATATATATATAAGAATTGTGCTATAATTTCTAGTCACCGATCTGTTGCTGCTATATTTTAATTTGACGAACCGGAATTTGTCGATGTTCTTTTTCCTGTTTGGTGCGATTGCAATTGCGGATCTTGACCTGGCCGGACCTTATGACCACAGTGTACCAATCTTCTGATGGCTACTTCCAGCAGGATAATGCGCCATGTTATAAAGTAAATCATC